TATTCTCTCTCTCTCTCTCTCTCTCTCTCTCTCTCTCTCTCTCACAGTTCGTGTACAGTGATACCTGTTTCCGAACTCCCGAACTGACAGTGACCAAGGGTAGAACTGATAGACCAACCCTTGCCCTGAAATGCACATCTTGAAGGCAACATGTATATTATATAACGATATCAGCCATAATACAAAAGCGATGATCATCGTCCTTGGTACAATCGCCAGACTCTTTGGCGTTGCTCCCAAAAGGTGTGAGTTCGATTCCCACTTGAGGAAGTTATTCTATAAGGTCATTTTTCTATCTGCAGAGTTGCTGAACCTCCTGAAATGTGTGGCAACAACACAAGTATAATAATTTACGATAACCTTATAATAATATATGTCACCATTAAAGATGACGAATTTGATTATAATAAAGTTAATGTAGTTTATAGTTTTCAAGTAGAAGAAGAAAGCGTCAATGAACCTATTGTTTTACATGATGTTTATCACCAAATATGAGTATGAATACTTGTATTTTTCCTCGTTTGCTGGAATAAAAATTCTACAGAAACTACAAGCTAAGGGTTGTTCCAGGGGTGAACTTTCTGTTTTAGGAAAGGAAATTTGGTGACTTTGCTCGGAGCTAAGGCATTGGGTAGGTAATCCACGCATGCGTCCGTTATCATCTAAAGTCAATGAAAGAAAACAAAACATTAATCGCATGACATAATACTTTTTTCACATCGCCCCTTTACGGCCATTTAACAATAAAGACATGGTTAGTAATGTCATCAACTTTTATAAGAAGAGTCACAGATGTGACATGATAATCTTATCATAATGGAGCTAAGCCCGCATGTGAGGTCAGTATACATTTTTTACACAGGTGCCCATAAAATTTATAAAAATATGAATCAGTTAAGAATTGTCACAAAGGCTTACGTGGGCATATTTTCAAAGTTCTAAAGCTACCTTTTGATTTTTCAGGTTTGATGGTTTTTCCTGTAAATCGACGCTCTCGGATGTTTCCAGTCTGCCATTGGCCATTTCTTATAATTTACTGGGGACTACTTCCGTTTCGGTTCATGCTTCGTCGAGTGTGTGCGACAGCTGCTTCTACTATTTCCAGAACTAGAATCTCGATATCCAACTCTGTTTGGATGGTGCTTCAGAGTGTCGATGGATACTTCAGGCCAAACTTCATAGTGTCGACTTTTTAAAAGATACATTTGTATAGTCATGTCCCCCAACACGTTGAATTCGTTTAGACCCGCAAAATGCTTACTTCGTTGTATTGACCTTTTCAAAAATTTGGCTCTTAGTTTTTTTTTATACAGCAAGACTCTTATAGATCTCTCTATATCCTATAATTTCGAGTACAAAATTCAAGACTGATTTGGAGTAGTTTGCATGAACGGAAGTGCCGTTTGTGCTTTGTTATTGAAGCATCATGGTTTTGAACCCTGCCATGGTGCCGAAATTGTATCCTTGGTAGAGGTATGTTGTATGAATTTTCCTCACTTCATCGAAGTGGCAATGGGTACCCGGTGGTCGGCGGGAAGAACATATTGTCTATTTAAATGCTGATAAAACAAAATCATTGCTAAAGTGGCGACTTCCGTGAGGATTATGCAAAGAGAGAGAAAAACGTAAAACAAAACAAAACAACAATAGTAACAACAAACAAACCCCCCCCCCAAAAAAAAAAAAAGAAAGAAAGAAAAGAGACAACTATAAACAAGCAAACAAACAAGCAAACAAACAAACAAACAATAAAGCAAACAAATAAAGAAAGAAACAAACAAACAAATAAACAACCCCCCCCATAAAGGATAATTGCTTGTATAGAAGGCGTTCCTCGTCGCCAATTGTAAAAGACGTTAATTCACGTTCTGATTCTCCCATTCATTAATCAATGCAGTCTTGCAAAAATCAGATTAATAATGAAAAAAGTCCAAACAGGGGAAACCACTCCCGCCCACCGTTGAAGAAAGTAAACCCTGTTAAACTGTTTGTTATGTACCTTTCCAGGAGGGGAGGAGCGGTTGTTATGGGTGCTATGTGCATGTGTGTGTGTGTGTGTGTGT